TTCCTTGACTCCTGAATCGCCCGGAACACCGGCGCCCCCACTTCTTAAACACGTTCTAACGCCTCCAGAAGGTGCACCGTAAATAAATAGGTAATTCCTTAAAATATTTGTGTACTCTTGAAAATCTCAAAAGTTTTTGAAAAGAAATTGTTAAAAATCATGGTAAGGAGAAAGTGCTCCATAAATAAATAGGAATTTACTTAAATGATTTGGTAACTTTTAAAAATCTCGAAAGTTTTTGAAAATACATTTCTAGAAATTATGGTAACTGTAAGTAAGATAACTACATTACATTACTATATTATTAGGGAAATCTCCTTTTAATATTATTATTATTTTGAGCTTTACACCATATAATATAAATAAAAATAGACCAAGAAAATAAATAATAAAGATAGATGTAAATGTTTTAAAATTTTTTTTTAAATTTTAATTTCAGTGTGTCAATAAAAAATTGTAGTTTCACGTGGAAATTGTTAGTAGTTGGCAACTTATTTTCCTTGTTTTTCAACGTTTTGGTATGGCTAACATGCCACGAACACTTTAATCAAGCCCATATTTTATGCACATGTGGGCGTTTGTGGGTGTTTATTCCTTTTTACCGTTGTCCTGCATTCGCTTTCATAATGACAGCGACAACAAAAACAATACATTGTTGTCGTTGCTGCAATTTTCATAATAAAGCAAAAAAAAACAAGTCAACAGCAACAATAATAAGAATAATGAAAACAGAAAACAAACACCTTGACCCAAATGCGCGTTACCAACGCAGAAAATAAATTCTCCTCCGCCCATAGAACCTTTACTCTTACTATTTTTAATTTGTCTAAACATTTTTTAGATTCAAAAAAAGTCAAAAAAAAAAAAAAAAAAAATGAAATTTGAAAAGGAAAGGAAATCCAGCATATGGCCCAGACAAAAAGGCTTTGTTTGCGTTTTTCAGATCCTCACCGAACTGCCTGCCTCTCTTTGCTTTAGCATAAACAAGCAGACAATCGCCTTCCATCCCCATAGAACCCCAAAAAGAAACCCACCCACATCCACATCATCAAAAAAAAAAAAATGCATACGCAAATTTATACACTAGATATAACTATGGGGTTGAAGGGGGGAACGTTTGCTGGAATATACATGAAACATGTATGGAAATTTTCAGTAAAAAGCAAAAATATATTTTATGCACTGTCGTTTGTGGCTTCGAGTTCTCGTTCTAGTTCTGGTTTTTGGTTCTGCCTCTGGTTTAGTACAAGAAAAAAATAAATATACGAATAATAATAAAGTTTACTGGGGAAATGCATGCGGTGAAATATTCTTTTTATTGTGATACCCCTTTTGGCCATCCATAGATATGATCAAAGTGTTGAGCGTGGTTTAGACGTGTAGAAACTTGTGAAATTTCACTTTGATACATTTAATATATTTTTCCCAAGTTTTTGTAGTTTTAAAGAAATTTATCAAATGTCTTAGAATTCAATTTTCATATGGGCTTTTTAATGGCACTCACTAGACTTTCTTGGCATTACCATATTGAAACTATTTTTCTTGTCAGTATTTTTTTGTTCTAAATTTTTTTCTTCAACTGACAAGTTTTCTTTTTGCTTGTGGGTTTAACTAGATTTGCTTTAGCAGCATTTTATGCGAATTTTTCTGTTCCTGCTCCTTTTTCTTCGTGGGGCATCTTCAGCTTCTGCTTGGCATATTTTATGGACAGAGTGTGTGAGTGTGTTTGTGTTGAAGGAGCTTTTTTGCAAGTTTTTAATTAAAGCGAAAGTGTCGACAGGCATGCTGGGAATATAGCCAAGACCAGCGGCGATGTCCTGGGAGCCAACGAGCTGCCACTTTTGGCTTTTTGCAAATTGTTGCAGTTTATTTTATTTAGTTTGCCAAAAGCTGATCGATAAACTTGAAAATTTTCGGTTGGCCGACCGTTTGGTTCATCGCCTGCTAACTGGAAAACTTTTGTGGCAAAAGTGCATAACCGGATGCAAAAGGATGTAGAACAGTTTATCAAGAAGACGGGAAGCAGTTGGCATTAATCAAGACATCCTTTTGCAAAACTGGTGGGAAAAATCCGGAATCAAAATAAATATCACTTTGGGCAAGCTTTGTCCATAAAAGTATTTTTTATAGCTAACCCGTGTTCTTCCATCACATCAATTCAATTTGTTTACTTTAATCTTTCATAAATTTGCAATTTTAATAAGGATGACCTGCAGCCCTCGGCCCAAAAAGAAATCCAGCAATTTGTCAAACAAGTCGCTGCCCACGCAGAAAAAAATAAAAAATAAGAATAAGAACCCAAACAGAAGAAAGAATACAAGAATTTGTAAATCTTCCAAATTAGAAACTTGTCATTCCGATTAGCTTCAGACACACAACAGAAATGTTTCAGTTGTTTATTTTTTTTTGTTCTGCTCCCAGCCGAAAAACTTAACTTAAGAACAGGTTTAATCTCGACCCAGAGATTGCCTTTAAGGGTTTAAATCGCACACAAAAGGAAGGAAGAAGCGAGGAATAATAAAAGGGACACGGCGACATTGTGGCCAAAAGGACCTCGGTGGAAAAAAAGGGTCCAAATGAGAGAAAATGCGCGCACATAAAACAAAATGAAACAAAGGCCAAAAACGGCATTAAATACAATAAAAACACAGCAAAAACAAAAAAAAATAAATAAATATTATTAAGAATGCGCAGAGAGAGAAAGAAAAAGCAATTAATAATAATTAATGTTTTTATCTTTTTGTTCAGCCTTCTCTCGTCGTCGTCGTCTTCTCTGAATAATATTTCTCTCTTGGAGAGACAAACAGGAAACCCAATCCCAGACTTTGGAGTCCAGAGTCCCAGAATCCCAGAATCCAGTTCCCTACATTGGTCGTCTGGCTCCGGGTTTTATTATATACAGCTGGCCCGGAGTTGACTTAATTGATAATTGGAATTTCTTTTTCCTCCTGCAAAATGTATTTAAATTTTTCAACATCATTTCGATTCATTTGTTTCATTGCTCTGGGTACATTAACCCAAAAAGGCCGCAAAACTGCGAGCCGAAATAATTGTTCAAAAGAATCTGCAAGCCGGACGAAAAAAAAGAAAAGAGATACAAACAAAACCAGCAATAATAAAACCCAAAAACCGCAGCAACTGCAAAAAGAGCGAAAAACATTTTTTTTCGGCTTTTAAAATCGTTGTAAAAGTGTTGGGAAGAGGCGTTCTAGCGTTTAAAAATTGTTGTGGCCGTCGCCAATCGACAGCAGCCGAAATGTATCTTAAAGTTTGCCACTTGCTTTTCTGATGGTGTTGATGTTGATGGTTCTTCGGCTTGACTTTTTGGCTGCGGGCGGTTTTTGTTTTCTTTCCGTCGAACTCCGTCGCTGCTCTCCAGCAAAATGTATCTGTATCTGCAGCTGGGCTTGGGTATCTTTCGCGTATATGTAGCTTCAGGTTCAGTTTCAGCCTCAGCACTTTTTTTTTACAGAGGCCTCCGCAGCTTCAGTTCGTTTGTTATTGCTTTTGTACAACATTTAAATGTTTAGCTGCCGTTTGAGCTTCGTTTTTGAGAGTGCTTTATAGTGGGTATGAGGGGTATTCTGGGACTTGGGGATTTTACAAAAGAAATTGGGATACAAATGCAGAAATACTTTATACACTCTATGTAGCGATTTAAAAGTAAATTCTTATTCTTCATTCATTTAACTTCTTACAAAAATTTGAATTTTTATAAATCGCATTATTATAAAAGTGTAAGTATAAGTAGACTGCATTCATAATAATACCAGCATAATTTATTATTATAGTTCAAAATATGCATATCTCAACTGTCAAATCTTTGAATATCTGTAATTAAAGTCGTATTAATTAATGGGTATTTCCTAAGCCATAAACCCCCAATTTGAAAACCCACTTCCACTCACGCTTTCTTGTTCGCAGAGACCTCTTCCTTTGGCTTTTTTGTAGGCGTGAGTTTTATTTCAGCTCACTTAATGCGAATTAAGCTAATTTAAAAGCGATTCGAAATTAACTTTAATGTGTATGCAAAGCAACACGAAACGAGAGGAAAAATAACACAGAAACCAAAGCAAAAAGCATTTCTAACACTTTTGCTCCCTTCATTATGGGCTGGGCCTTACGTATTTTTTGAGCTTGGGTTTTTTCGGTCTTCGATTGGATGGATATGTGTGTGGTTTTTGGGATACGATGTGTGGGCGTCTTGAAGTGGCTTCTGTTGCGCCCGCTTTCCCAGTGGATCGAGCCCCCATGTTCGTTCTATATATCTATTGAAATTGCTGTGGTTGTTGTTGCCCAGAGTGTTGTTGTTGTTGCTGTTGCCGCTCTGACCCAATTGACGTAGTCAACGTCGTCGTCATCGCTTCGCTTGTTAGAGGAGCTCTTAAAATAAAATTGAAAAAAAAAGAAAATAAAAAAAAAGGAGAAAAAAATAAGGAAAACCAAAGTAGAAGAACTGCAGGTCGCTAGTAAAATGCACATTGGATGAAGATGGTAGGTTCCACCACATGTCTATAGATACACACACACACTTTTGGCCATATATATTTATATGCATGTGTGTGTTTGTGTGCCTAAATTGTAGGTAGCAGGCATGTATCTTAATGAAGGCAATTTGCTTGTCGAGTTTAGGCAAGTTAGTTTACCGAAAATTGGCATATGGCCAGTAGCAACAAAAGCCCCGTTCAGGGCACTGCATTTGAACTCCCCGTAAACCACCCACTTACCTCCCCCTCACACCTTTACGGTTGCCTTACAGTTTTAGTAGCCTACAACGAACCATTAACCGGTTCAACTATATGGTTTTTATAGATCTGACATTTTTTTAAGGATCTCGAACTTTTTATGAATTTTATAAATATTTATTTAGTATTTGCAAGCTTATATCTTTTTGTTTCCCTAATATCCTTTCTTTTAGGTATTAATATGGAATTAAACTAAAATTGAATTAAAACTTTTGGTATATACAATACTAATAACAGCTTCTTTACTTTTTACAGTTTTTAATTGGAAGAAACTATCATCTGAGGACCAAAAGTCATAAGTAAGTTATACAAAATAAAAAACAATAACTAATATTAGTCAAAAAAGATAGATTGAAAGAGTTTATCAAAAAGATTTAGTATTGTATTGGAACTGCTGAGTTTTATCTTTAAGTCTTTTCGATATGCATTTTTACGCCAATCTCCCTGAATTTCCTTGAAGTTGCCGAATATTAAATTTAGCCTCTAGGAACTTCCTCTTTAGGAATTTCGACCGTATCCCCCCCTTAGTCATTCACCAGTGCGCACATGTCGATAAACCAACTTACACACATCGATGGCAATAGGGAACCCCATGATGAAGGAGGGCAGGGATAAGAGGGCTTCGAGGAGCAGGGGCTGAGGAGGACGAGGATGAGGACAAGCCTGGCATGCACTCTGGGGGGTAATGCGAACTTGGCTCTTCAGCTCCCCACTACCCCATTTCCAACACCCCCCCTCCCCCTCCCCATGGCGCACTTCCTGCTGACCCTTTCCTACACGTAGCGAAAGAAGAGTTATGCAAGCTGCAGATACATTTTGGCCCACATGTTTCAGTGTGTGTGTGTGTGCGTGTGTATCTGTGTGTGGGTCCAAACAAAGCCGAGAAGCGATGGATTAGAAATGATTTACTGGCCAGTTGCAGAAATTTTCAACGATTTCCTTTCATTCAGTTGCACAAATTTAATGTACTTTAAAGGTATAAAATTTTAAATAATATTAAATTGGAAATTATAAACTAGCTTTCAAAGCTTTCAATAGCTTAAATACATGATTAACATGTTCCACTTATTTTAACAAGCAATCGTTTGGTCAAAATTACCAAACAATTAAAATTAAATACATTTCCCTCAGGCCGAATATCTCACTGCTTTCTTCTTAGGCTTTCATTTACCAACCTTTCTCAATTTTAATACAAAAATTTTCGGCAAATTTAATGAACTTAGCCCTAAAGTTTTGTCATGTTTACGCGCCAAAAAACTTGTGCACATTTATCATTCTGCAAAATTTGGTGCCACGGCCATTAATCACAAAAGGCTTTAAGTATTTTTTGCCGTGTACATTTCGGTGCTGCGCAAAATGCCAGAAACGAATTTTGCCTAAATTGCGAAAATTTAATAATCTAATAAGGCAAATTTTAACAAACTATTTAATGGCTAAACTGAATGCAGACTCGGGTCAAATTCTTGAAAGCAAGGCAGGCCGGGGAGCCAAGAGTATTGGAAATGGCCTAAGGCGGAGCGTTTAGCTTAAGTTAAGCGGAGACAGCAGCAGTCGCGTTTAATGTCTGTGAAATTGAAAAATTTACTCTTTAATATGCGAACGGGTTGGTCGGTTAGTCGCTTGCCTTCTGAGCCCGAGAACCTGCCGGAAAGAGTCAGATACGGATGCTGGATACTGGATACTACTGGATACTCGACTGCTGGCTGGTCAGGCCAAATGGTGTGGAAGCCGCTTTTGCTGCTTGAAGTGCAGTTAGAGCAATTTCACAACTCACTAACAATCATTAATGCGTCGCCGACATTTTACCGCCCAACCCCTGGACTCTTTATTTTTCTTCTGTTTTTTTTTTTTTTTCCTAGTCAAGGAAGTCGGCCTCTAATAAGCAGCCTCTACCGGCGAACTTAAATCATAAACAGGCCGCAGAGCTGGCTGCTTTATGAAATGGAAAATGTGCAGCAGCAAATGAAAGAAAATACAGGCGGCGGCAGGCGAACAAAATAAAATTATTCCGAGTCGAGAGGGAAAAGCTTTGGCGTTGTTGCGATGGATGGTTAGAGATGGTTGGTTGGTTGGATGGTTGGTTGGTTGGATAGCTGGATGGTTGGGTGCCTCGTTTGGATGTGATTGAGGCCTGCGGCTCATTTTGAAGTTCATGTCGTATAGCGCTTGCTAAATCGACACGCAGATAGATATGGGGAAAACCGTAAAATAGGAGTGGATTCGGCTGCTGGGGAGGATTTTGTCGGAGAGAGTCTAATGACAGCTGCGAGTATTCAGCGAAGCATGCGAGGTGGGTTTGAGATGTTGGATGTAATGGGGATTTTAGTGGAATTTCATTTAGCATAATTCTAAGGAGTATGGGATTGTTTTTGAATTATATATATGTCTAGCCTTGGAGGAACAGCTTATAAAAAAATTTTAGTTTTTAATTGTGTTTATACAGGATTTTTTATGAAACTTAATTGTGTTTATACAGGATTTTTATGAAACTTTAAGTTGCAATTTTATTTAGAACATTTTTTATAGAACAAACGTATCATATTTAAAAATATCCTAATCAATATATGAGTTAGAAATTAAATAAAAATTAAATTATTGGTTTTATTTTTTATTTGACTTTAAAGAAGAATGGTAGGTTGCTTTAGAGCCCCAAAAATGTCTGTATAATGCCTTTTTTATATGCCATATACCTTCCTGTTAGACTTACCCTACTTTGTTGACAACCCACGTTCGCGTCGTTTGTGTTATATCATGCAGCACAGCGGCTTTGATGACGGCCTGTTGCTGTTGCCCCGGGAGTTTGGTCTTTCCCCTACTCTTTGCTCTATGGCCGAAAAGATCGTAAATGTGTGCCAAATTATAAGTCATATGAAACAATGACTGCTACTTAGTTATGACCATAAAAACGAGGCCAACCAGGGGGATGGTCGCTGTTTATATGTAGGAATATATATATATGCCATGCCAGTCGCGACTGCTGTCAAAGTCATTTTGGCGCATAATTTTTACAACCAGTCCCTCGCAGTTTTGCCCCTCTTTTTTTGCTGTTAACTGGAAACTCGTCGCGTTCTTCATATAACTTTTATAGTCTCCCCTGGTCGTTGCTAAAATATTCTAATTGTTTTCAGCAATTTTTGAATGCGCCGTGTACGCGCGGCAGTGTCATAAATCTCTTTTTAGCCGTACTGCAGCGGGATGAGGCTGGCAGCAAACTGAAATGGCCAAGACAAATTTGCTTTAAAGCTCGCCAATAAAAGTTAACAGCGTCGTCCATGCGTTGCTATCCTCTCTCAGCTTTATACTACCTATGAGTATGAGTGTATGCTTTTTGTATCTTTTGCATAATCTAGCCAAAAAGAACGCATTTGAGACTGGTTTTTATGGTTCTCCAGGGTAAAGGGATGCTGGTGGGGAGGGGAAAGGGTGTGGGCCATGATTGAGTGGAATGCAAGGAAATCGTAATTAAAATTTGTTGCTTCACAAGAAGCTCTATCTGGATAAATGAGCATGCTTTTTATTTTTATGATATTTATATCTATTTAGATAGTTGGTACTTTATAGCTCCACCTGGTATAAGTGTACACTCTAGAGTCTTATTGCGCAGTCATTTGGGTAGATATTTTATGGTTAAAGGATTTTTGCAGATATCGTAAATTTTATGTCTAATGTGCGGGTAATTCAAGATTGAGTTCTTGCTTACGGTGCTTTGAACTTTACTCTTAGATGGAGGCCAACCTAAGTAATTTAAATATTTCAAAAAATGTAACATATATTTATCTAATAAATATCTTACTTCAATAAAACGAAATATTATGAAGAGCTTACACACAATAAAACACCTGCATTACCTAATTAATTCTCTTAAATTTTTCAAAAGTTTCCTAACCACATTCAAACACTTATCGTAGTTCATAAATTCAGCAAAGAATCAACATAAATTTTAGTAAAGCACTTCAATATTTCATAACTTTCTCACGCAGCCTCAGATACTTCCCACAGTAGTTAATACGAGCTCAAAGATACACAGCGCAGATTACGTAAACATTTCCTCATACATTTCTCGCTCTCATCCGCAGATACATTTTCACATGCTTAGCCAAGTTAAGCGGCGCATCCGTTAGATACACCCGAAAATAGATACTTTCGCCCATAACTTAGGGCCATTGCACGGCAGCCACTTGGCCCATGTTCATTGCCAATTCGCATGCAACTTGCAGATACTTCGCACTCATGTCTCAGCTACTTTATATCATTTTAATAATGTATCCGCTAGGTAGCTCGTAACCAAGAGCTCCGCCAAGAGTTCAAAGTAGTTTGCACTCAATTTCAATATTTTACAGACCAGAAAACAAAAACCAAAAACGAAAAAAAAAACAGGGCAAGGAAGGAGAGTCTTGCAGCTGGCAAGACAGCGCACACAATATATCCCATAGATACATATGTTTTATACATCTACCTATATTGCTTATTATATATTAGCGTGTGTCTGTTGTTTGGGGGGCCCCTCAGGAGCCAAAGTAACTAATATGAATAGCTAATAAATCACATTTGGACGGTGATTTATGTGACAGGTGCGTATTGCGATTTGAAATTGGCAACAGTTTCCATTTCGTATCCGCAAATTGGCCAAAAGCAAAGCAGCATGTGTTACCTTTATTTTTTTTCCTTGCTGCTCCATTTTGTCATGTAAAATGTATCGAATAACACAAAATAACCTAATCCAAATGTGAGCGTTAATTTTACCCTAAGAGTTGTCAAATTAGTTCAAGGGAAAGGTCTCCTAGCTGACCCTCAATTACGCATTTCTTTGGAAAACTTTGTTAATTTGTTGTGTCGACTCAAACAATGAGCTCTGGGGTTAATGGATTTGTGGAGTGAGTGAATGTATATATATAGAGTGGGTTAGGACATTGGTTCGTTATTAGCCACCGCCCCGCAAAGAAAACAGAAAGAAGAACAAACGCACACGCAGGGAACCGGACTTTATCGATGCCATCAGAGTTAGTTGGTTGGTCTGGTCTGGTCTGGTCTCGTCTGGGACTGCTCATTATGTAACCTCTCATAATTCTTTCATTAATGAAATTCCCACACGACGCTGCCACCATCATCATCTGCATTATGTAAATCTTCCATCAACAACACGGCTCAGCACGGAGTCGGTTTCAGTTTTTGGGCTCACCCAGCTCACCCAGTCCACTTTTCTGCTCCTTTCATCCTTGTCAACTAATTTCAGGGTTGTGCGGCCGACTGACTGCCTCTGCCTGTCATGTTTTTTAAGACTGTTATAATTTTCATCCTTTTTCGAGTGGAGAAGCGAAGAGAACCGAGAACCGGAGGACGAAGAACGAAATACGGTTGGGTGCATCGGCTTTTACTTTCCTTTCCTCTTGGCCTTAAAAATGTTGGCCAAAAACCAAATAAGACGAAAACTACCTGTTCACAAAACCCACACACACCGCAGAGGTAGCAGTAACAACGGCAGCCTCAACATATCCCCCAAACGAACAACGAACAACCAACCCCAGGCGAACTGAACCGTCGAGCCAGCAAACAACACCCAGTGGGCACAGTGGTTCCGGCGCTGGGTTCCTTAATTTAAGGGGTTAATTAAATTTTAATTGGCAAGTAAATTAGCTTAAATTGCAGGGAATTAGGTGAAGTTTCTGTAAATAGTTTTGTTGCGGCAGGGGCAATAATGTCATAAATAGTAAAATATTGAGGCACACATGAGTAGAGTATGTTGATCTTTATTATTTGTTATTTGAGATTTGTTTAACATCTTAAATATATTTGTATATTTATATGTAAAGATATACTTCAGGCTTTTATAAAATTTACATTTTAGTCTATCTAAGAGGATATAATGTCGGAAATTGTAACAAATTTGAACAAATATATCTCCTATTTTAGACTTGTTTAATAAAAAAAGTCATACTTTAAGGATTTTTTAAATTACTTTTCGGTTATCTAGAAAAAATTATGTTTTAGTTTTACCCAGAACTACTAGATATTCAAATCGATCCAAATTTTTGAAAGCCATTTTATCTTAGAGTTCCATAAAACAAATTTTTTAATGTATATCAATTAAAAAGGACTCTATACAAAGAATTTCTTTTTATTCTAGAGTTATTTCTTGATCATTCGTTTTCCCCGAAATCCTCAGAAGATAACCACTGTGCAGCCGCATTTGTCTTTTTGACTCCCATTCCCTCTTGTCTTTTTTTCTGGCCTCACCGGGGTTCTCCTGGCTTGAGTTCGGGTTTTTTAGCCTGGCCTGGTGGCTGCTTTTAAATACCCTTTACCTTGGCCATATTAATGCGGCTCCCACTGTTACTTGTGCATTGTTGTTGCTGCTGTTGTTGCTCGTGTTGCTGCTGCTGTGCTGTTGGTGTTGCTGTTGTACTTCACATGTAGTTTGGTTGTCATTTGGCAGCGCCCGCTGTTTAGTGTCCAACATGAGGGCCGTTGGTGTCGGCAACGCTGCTCCCTGCGATTGGGGAATGCGAGAAAGGGAGAGGTGAAAGAGCCAGAAAGAGATGGGGCGGAGAATGTGGAGCTCTGATCGAGTCTCCTGATGCTGTTGCTGCTGCTGCTGCTTTAGATGTTGCTGCTGCTGCTGTTGCTGCTGTGGATGTTGCTGCCGTGTCTCCTTGGTCTCCAGTATTGGTATTTCGCCTGGTAGCCCCAGCGACAGTTGTTGAAATTAAATGCTCACATGTGGGTTTTGTTTTCTTGTCTGCCTTTGCTGCCCTGGCGCTGTGCTAAAAACTCCCAAGTCAACACAGTGAAGAACAGAGCCAATACAGGCAAAATTCTATAAATCGAACCAGAAAAAATAAAGTTTTCTTGTTAAAAAGATAAAGACGATAAGTTAATTTTTCAAAAATCTATAAGATAGCGTCCCTAATCATTTATTTTAATCTTTATTTTAAAATTCGAATTAACTTCATTATTATTTGTGTCTTTATAAATAAACCCAAAGTTCAATCAGATAAGTTTAGTAAAAAGGCCCGAATACAGGAAAAATTCTATAAATCGTACCAGAAAAAGTAAATCTATTCTTGTTAAACAGATACGAGTATGTTTATATTCAAAAGTTTATGATATAGCACTCCTTAACATGAATTCCAATCTTTAATATTATTTGGAATTAAGATAAAGTTAAAGTTTTCTTGTTATAAAGATAAAATCTATAAGTTAATTTTTCAAAAATATATGAAATAGCAATCTAATCTAACAATTTATTTTAATCTATATTTTAAATTTTAATTAACTTCATTGTCTTGTATCTTTATAATGAAAC